GGAAAACCCGAACGGACATGTCGAGCCCCGCCTGGGCCTGTCAGGCCCACAGGAGGCTCAACGAGGCCCCCGAAAGGCCCCGAGAGACCCAAGAGGCCCACGAGGCCTCCCAGGAAGCCCCAAGAGGCCCCCGAGATGTGTTCGGGATGCCCCCAAGTGGCTCCTGCACAAGAACTCCCTGCACATTCTTGCTGGGCCAGTCGAAGCCGACCACATTTTTGGCTGGGTTGATGGGGAGGTCCCTGATATGCTGGCCCACGCTCGCCCAACCGAATGCTCGACGCTTGGACGCCAGCGCCCCCGATGCTCTCCCCACCAGGGCCCCCCTCATCAAGAAGGTTACGTAGGCCAGCAAAGACCCCGTCAGGAAAGTATTTTCGAATGTGCGCGCGCAGCTCAAGTAGTGAAGGAAACGGCGATGGATAACAACCGATTGAGCGTGTTTTGGTCCGCGGGCGCAAGAAAAAACTGACGCCTGTCAAGCGACGGGAGGGACCGGAAGCGAAGTGGACATGAACAAGCGCGGGAAGAGCACAGGAAGGCAAAACAAAAACAGCGGAGGCTGCGCTCATAACGCATAGCTCTTGCACGCGAGCACCAGAGTTGCAGCGATGTTGGACCCTCGACTGGACACACAAATGTCGCGGGAGTTCGCAGCCGCCGGCCACGAATTCGCTGGGCCGCCACTACCAGGGCAACTCAGAAACTTCTCCCGACCTCGGGCCTCTAAATGTTCACGGGTGGGCGGCATCCCTACTCGAAGGACATTCATCGCACTGCGGGCACTGATTGCGCACTGCTGCCTGAATCCAGCGGTACAGCCCTTCATGCTGATGCGCCTGGTGCCTTTTGGGCTTACCGAGCGACTGGCATGCATGGGCACGCCAACTACCGCCAAGCTCCTGCCCATCACAGACAAAAACCCCCAAGAACATCAGCAATGCTCATCGGATGTTCTGGTACTGCACTGCCACGCCATTGCAGAAGTCTAGACACTTGCGGGCCCGAACCAAACAGCCCGAACCACCCCCGCTGTTCCTGGATACCGCGAACACGCGGGTCGCACCGACCCAGGAACAAGAGAGCCCCCCCTAAAGTTCACGGCATGGCGACATGGCTGGTTTCAACCACGGACGCGATACGTTCGCGTCCATCTCCAAGAAACCAATATGATCGCGAAGACGTCGGTCCATTAGTTGGGCCCGAGCAAATCGGCGGCACCGCAGCGCGTTCTCCGCCACAGGCGGCACCAGGATCGAACACACCAGTTTGCGCGGCACCGACTAAGCTGTTTCTGGTCATCGTGCTCCGGGGCACTCGCGCCGCCCACGAGCAGAAGCGCACGACCGCAGGACAGGGCAAATCTGCCAACTGGACAACGCAGACGTTGCGAGGGAAGCCACGCCCCCCCCCAAAAAACACACACACACACACACACATCACCACCACCAAAAACAGACGAGGCGCACATGGTCTCCTTTATGTTAACCTTCCGGCTGGCGGAGCTTGATTACGTCACCCTGGTGGGTCTCGAAGAGATTGTCGCATTCGGCGCCCCTGTTGCATGGCTGCCGTGGCACTTCTGGCAAAACCTGAACGATCTCAATCATCTACACGAGAAACGTACGAACACAATTCCTCAGCAATACACGCGATGGGCTCCACGGCCGGAACGGGGCAACTCTACTTCCAAACGCGCGCTTCAACCCGCGCGCCCACTGCCGGGCCAAAAACCTGACGAGACGATCTGGCGCAGACTGATACCCCTGCAACTCTACGCACCCAAACGCAAACAAACTCCTCTCCCCCGAGTCAGTCGACACTAGAGTCAAAGCGCGCCAAGACCTTCCCAACGCCAGCGCGGCGCCGTCGGGATGCACCCAACGGCCCGCCCAAACATTTGCAGAACCTCAACCTTCACGGGATACGGAGACGAAAACATTCGACCCATCATAAAATGCCGCGAACCACTCTCTGGCATGTTCCGACAATTGCCAACGCACGGCCCCATGGTGCAGAATGAACTTCTCCCGCCTGCGACCTCCGCGGGGCCGGCACTTTGGCGCGCGGCACGCCCCGCCCGACACTTCGGATTGCCCGCTAGGAAAACTTGACCGTGGCCAAGCAAGCGAAGTAGCCAACCGCCCACGCCCGATACTTCGCCGCTATGCTCAACGCCTGAGAACCCGAGGCTGACATTCAACAGGTTCGGGGCACTCCGAGCGCCGCGACGCGTCGGAAGAAACATCTCAAACCTATCCGCAAAAGCCCCGACTCGCACGCCAGGGCCTTCACGCGCAAAAGACGGAGAAGATAGGCAAGAGCAACCATGACTCGCGAGGCACCGGCCACTCTGGAAGTGCGCGGCGAGCCTTGCTCCACAGCGGGCGACTAGAGCATTCATGGCCGGCTTGCTCTTGCGCGGGGCGACCTGCGGTCGCGCAGCGAGGTCTTGGAGAGTGCATCAGAGTGGCTGGAGCCACGGCGATCCTCCAGCACTGCCCTTGCAGCTGCCCCCGGCAACAAAGCACGGCCGGCTCCCGATGCCATTGCCTCAGATCGCGAAGAAAAGACAGCGCCCGTACTCGACTGGACGGGCGCCCGCTGCAGTGCCCTCACAAATCGCGCCCGCCACAACGCCCCCCTCAAGGCCTGCAAAACGCACGCAGAAGCCCCAGTACCGAGCGCCTGGTGGAACAGCTGTGAGCGCAGAGACCCGTCGATAACAACGCCCTGACACGGGCGCTCTTCTCGCCGGGGTTACTTCATCTTCTGACGCCACCGGGGGGGCGAAATGACCCCTGGTAAATGGCAGCACGAGTGGCAAGGTTGCGCCTGCAATGTGCTTCATGGGCGGGCTCGCAAGACTTTTCGCCGCGCTCTGGGTTGACCGCCCACTAGAGTCAACGCTGCGTCCCCCAGGAAAGCACATCTGCAATCGGCGACTGGGCCATTTTCAAACATATGGTTTTTTGCATGCCCTACAAGCGAGGTCATGACGGTCACGAAAGGGGACGCGGCATGCGCCACGCGACTGGAACCTGGGATTGGAGTGGCATGCGATGGCCCCGACCCAGGCGGACACGCACGATTCGCTCAAGGCATAAGGGGGCGCGCGCATGGCAGGGGCGCACAAGCACTGACAGCGCGGTAGCAAATCCTCACCGAATCTGGAGGCATGGCGCCAGACAGGAACGCGGAGAAGATGCTCAACAGCACGCCCGCACCAATGCCACCCCACTATCAGCGCATATCGAAAGGAATTGTGGCACGGCTTCAGATA